TAAAAATACACAGGATATCCACTGAACTACTTACAATATCAGAAACATCGATGCTGCAAGAAAAAAACAAACAAATAGTTGGGAATGCATAGGACTTCGCTTAATGACACTGTTTTCATTAATTACTTTTGATACAATGTTTTGCACAGTATTGACAAAAAATCTAAATAAGTGTCCTAGATATCATTTGAACTCTAGAAAATGACAAAATGTCCTTAATGTATCTATTGGACACACATTTGTACTCTGAAACCCTTCATATTTAAAAAAACAACGGTGTTTAAGAGCAAGCATTAAGTGTTGAAATTAAAAATTAAACATTTAAAACAACATTCAAGATAATTTCTTATGCATACTGTAATTAATATGCAGTTAATAGAGGATCACATTCATTTGTCTTGTAAGAAAAATATATTTAGAATTCTCTTTTGATATGTTATTCATAATCTATACATAACCACTGCACAAAAAAACAAGTCTAATAAAGCATAGCCCTACAAGATGGTGCATTTCAAAAGAATGTCAAAACTCTCCCTATACTCTATCCATGAAGAAATATACTTTACCTGGTAGCTGTGGATCCTTCATGCTGGTGTCTGTATGAATGGACGTAGAGAACAGCACGACAACCTCTCACTCTACAGTCTTCAATCCTCCAGCGATCACCAGCGCTCAATCCAATTAGATGGACGTAATAATATCCATTGTAGTGCTGTCAAACAATTAATCGCATCCAAAAACAAGTTTTTGTTTACATAATATACAGTATCTCACAGAAGTGAGTACATCCCTCACATTTTTGTAAATATTTTAAAGATATTTAAATTATCTTTTCTTGTGACAACACTGAAGAAATGACACTTTGCTACAATGTAATGTAGTGAGTGTACAGCTTGTATAACAGTGTAAATTTGTTGTCCCATCAAAATAACTCAACACACAGCCATTAATGTCTAAACCACTGGTCACAAAAGTGAGTACACCCCTAAGTGAAAATATCCAAATTGGGCCCAAAGTGTCAATATTTTGTGCGCCCACCATTATTTTCCAGCACTGCCTTAACCCTCTTGGGCATGGAGCTCACCAGAGCTTCACAGGTTGCCACTGGAGTCCTCTTCCACTCCTCCATGACGACATCACGGAGCTGGTGGATGTTAGAGACCTTGCGCTCCTCCACCTTCCGTTTGAGGATGCCCATGCTTGGCCAATCCATCACCTTTACCCTCAGCTTCTTTAGCAAGGCAGTGGTCGTCTTGGAGGTGTGTTTGGGGTCGTTATCATGTTGGAATACTGCCCTGCG